AAGGCGGTTATCAGGAGAGTTTCGAGTCAATCATTTGACATAACGCGGGGGTGTCGTTGGAGTTCGGGAGATTCAAAATACTTAGAAATCAGTAATTGGGAAACTATGTAAGCACGTGCAGGAGCTCCAGCCCCAACTGGTACCCTACGTAAAGCCAACACTCCTCGGACCTCCCACACGACTACCACGTGATGAAATCAATTCTCCCGCATTTCTTGTCTCTTTACACCGCTGCCCTAGCTGTTCTTGCTAAGATTAACTCCGCACAGCAAGAAGTGCTTATCAGCGAGAATATTATGGCCCAACAAGACAAGATCCCCGGCCACAACAATGCCGTATACGACATCGTGCCAAAGGAAGACCAGATATTCTCCGTCGAGTTCCTCGAGATTGCCCCGACGCCCATTATCGCGTAAGGCCCTCCTTCTCCTTGAAGTGCAGCTTGATGACAACATTTTGATATCCTGACAAAGCGACCATATCTTCTTCGTCTACCTGCGCGGTCATCTGCCTGAATCTAAAAAGAAGGAGCTGGAACTTCCTGACGAGGGCCTCGTCAATGCGACCTTTACTGTGAGCCTCTCTGCTATCTACGCAGATGGTAATCACGACGAGGAAATATCTTATACAGAGCCGTTGAAGACTACACCCTTCGGTCCGCTAGGCCATCTTACTATTCGCGATACCCGTGGAGTTCAGGTCGACTATATACCTAGTAGCGGCTCCAGTGAAATTTTATTAGATTTCCAGATCCTTGCAATGTTTTTGAGGAGCGGTATGTGGACTTTTAAAGTTGACTTGAGACTCGGAGATATAGACAATACATGTCTATTTGCTGGGTCATTCACACAATGGTTAGAGGGGAGGCTTCATTAGGATATTTGGAATAATCTACAAGCTCAATGGCACAATTTTCTCACAACGTTCTGTATTCTCCTGTCAAGATTGGATAGCCTCCTTTCCAGTTAGGATCCAAAAAGACTTGCTCGAGGGCCAGGTTTAAAGGTCTACTCCGTAGTTGCCTAGGGAGAGAGAGACACCCAAAAGACACAACAGGATATGGGAAAATTAGTGGAATAAGAAGTGGGAGAGCTTCTCTTATTTATGTGCGAGAGATAGGGCCTGGATTTTCTCACTTGCCATGGTGGGTGAGCGCTCGCCACCTTCACCACGTTCTCCTGCACCCAGTCTAAGATTTAGCGAATATCTTCTGCAAAGTAATAAGATACCTAGGGCTCATTTAACTACTGTCCGCGTTCACTACTGTGGCATAAGTACGGCTGAGCGGACGGGAAGCCCTGTTCTCCACACCCTGTCGTATGTATCAGTCTGGTAGCCACAAAGGATTATATAGAAGGTATGCAGCTTTTAACCGGTCTAGTTCCATAGTTCTAGTAATGACAGATAGAACCGATTTCACTTCGGCTTAACTCAAGTAATCTTTGTGTGTAGTCTTATTTTACTGTAACATCAGCCATACTCAGGCTGCTGCTGGGCTTTGGCTAGCGTGCTGTCAATTGTACCTGTCGTCTAACATATCATGCTTCATCAAACCTTACATGGCACTGCGTAAGCTGGGAAGTCGTACCGGCACATAAGTGGCATGCCTTCTAGCGAGGACAGGCCAAAGTAGACGGTGGACCAAAGGGTAAACAGAGGACATGTGGTGTCTAGTACTTTATAACACAACATAATCCTTGAGGATGCTTATCCTGAATTGTGACACTCTGTGATTGGCATATATATATGATAGAGCTGGTGTAGCTCACGTATGTGGGATTGATTATCTTGAGGTCTAAATCTACCATACAGATAGTCCTTGATGTTGCGGTCAGGTCACGTGGTTGCTGCCTTAGGCTTCCATGGGCTCTGACAATATATATGGGCAAACATGCGCATCTAGCTCCTTTGTAAGAGCCGGATAACCCTCACATTTAGCTCCAGAATTCTGATTTTATCTACCCATAGACCATCTGATCATGTTCACGTCTGGTAATTCTCCTAGGCTGCTAATAAACCCCACATGGACCATGCGGCCCAGACATCCCGCCACCCCGCAGCGTACCAAAGAGGCTGGATCGTATATTCACTGGTTTCAATTGCACTCCATATATAGAGCGCTGCCAGCCCTGCATTGTGAAGAAAGAAGCAGGATCCAACGATAAATCCGACCCTAGAGTGACGGATATGATGCTTTCTCAACAACCTGCAATGAATGAATGGGTGCTAACCAGGTAGCTCACGGAGACAACCTTGGAATTTACACGCCATCCATATCTCTGTGGTCAATATTAAGACAGACTCTGTACCGCTATACCCCGCCCACAAAGATCTGAAAAAAGAATAAGGGTTCCTTATGCTTGAAAAGGACCCGCCGGACTAATCTCAGCCAAGTCAGGAGGGGACCATACAGACTGGACCCGCAAAAGGTGATATAACGGCTAACTGAGCGTTGAAGATTTCAGTTGTCCTAAGGCATATCAAATTCATTCATTGTTCATGGTCAAAACAAGACTACGTTTCTTCACTTGAATTCCATCGCATGTAAATCTACAACATCTTTGTTCCGTGATCCAGTATATACACGAGCGTTGCCTTGGCTGGGATGGACTGAAGGAGTTCCTCGACAATTCTCTGAGAGCTTAGTGCTTCATTGACGATCTCCGATGCCGCACCGAGGAATAACCAATATGTAGCGGGTTCCTGGCTAGTCCTCTATATCCTGAATCGTGGACTATGCGACTCTTCCCGACTGCTTCCTTGAAGACACACGGAGCTTTGGGGCCGATCATATTTCTATGTCAAGGGCAAAAGAATTGCCCAGCACAGGTCACCTAACTCAAGCTGAAACCTACCCACAGATACGCAAGCTTATACAAGACAACTGAGCGACCTCGACATATCTTGGCTTACGCACGAGTCATGCAGTATTGTCAACAATCCATGCTCCCTACAGTTCTCTGTTTGGTGATCTAGGCCCGGATTCGCTGACTGGTGTCTCAACTAGCTAGGTATCGATACTGAACGGAGTGATCAACAAAATCATATCACAGGCCACAACAAGCCCATCGGCTCACATACCGAGTTAGGTAAGATGGCACTGTTAGCGACTACAGCCCCCGCGGGATATATGATAGACTGTGCTATGGCTTGCCTTGTGATATTATGTTGGGTTACATCCCACATCAATCGCTCCACCAGGGTAGTCATTGTTCAAGGGGCGATATTAGGAGTGGGTAACTGTCAAATACCCTAGATGAGGTATGATCGGGATGGACCGATCTCGGGTAGGTTTATGTGAATCGCTTTTCTTGTCATCAGAGACAGGAGCCCTCTTTTAATTTCCTCGCCGCGCTTGTTGGATGCACTCCGGTTTATTGACTCGCCGGCGTACCCTCCATGAACAAATCAAGTCCAGCGTTGACCGTTAATGGCGGGTCGTGTAATTTCCATTGCAAGGGACCCTCCACCACGCCAATGAAGGAACAAATCGTTTCGTATCGAGGTTAAAAGGTTGCTTCCTTTGTCACTCCCAAGGTTCTCAAGCATCCTTGGCATGGGGCAAAAAAGGACTTGGCATCTTGAACTCCTCTGCAGAATGCCATCTTTCTTTGGCATTCATGACGTGGCTGCGCATAGGAAACCTAGATTGTGATGGCTAAGTAATCCCACACGTGGTGCTCGCAGGACGACAGGATACAGACATTTCTAGTCTGCCACAGGTTCATTCTGCAACGGTCGGCAATGCCAACGGATGCAGGGTCTGGCGAGCGCGATGAGAACCTTGGAGACGCCAAGTATTCCACTGCTCTTGGCACGCTAGATTTTGATACAGCCCGTGGACTGTTGATTTGTGTCGGCTAATTCTGACTCGACGATCAAGACAAGGAAAGAGCAGAGTTTAGCTAGGAAGGCCGCTACTGGGGTGGAGGTATAAAGCCAATCCGATTTCCCTTGTTGTCCCCTCTCATCCTGTCACTCACAAACGCTGCACACACATAAGCTTGGACTAAATCTCAGCACAACTGCAAGAACCATGAGATTCTCAATCCTCGCTCTGTTTGCCTTGGCCTCGGTCGCCTTGGCCCAGGACAGTACTAGCCAGGATCCGGGTCCGTCCCCCACTGCCTCTGTTGGGTGTGAGCCACACGGAGACCACTGGTATGTTTGTTTCTGCCCTCATCTTGGATGTCAGAGCACCGATATCTAATGTTGATCCAGGCACTGCGAGGGTCCAGCATCGACATCAGAGACTGTCACCCCAGCCGTTCCTAGCCCAACCGAATCTGTAGGCTGCGAGCCGCACGGCGACCACTGGCATTGCGACGGCCCCGCTTCGACCACCGCCGAGGCCACTACTACAAGCACCCATTCACACACGGACGAGGTCGATACCACCGCGACTCCAACCATTCCCAGTCCAACCGAGTCGGTCGGTTGTGAGCCTCACGGCGACCACTGGCACTGCGACGGCCCTGCGGAGACGGGAGCCTCGACATCAAGCGGTAGCAGCAGCAGCAGCAGCAGCAGCGGTTCGACTGGAACCAGCACAGGCACTGCTGCCTCTGCCTCAGGGACCGGATCGGATGAGGACAGTGCGGCCGGGCACGTCGGTGTTCAACTTTCCGTTGCGGTCGGGTTGGCGCTGGGAGTCGCGGCATTGCAACTGTGAGGTAGCATCGTCGATAGCGGACATTGTATATTCCACTCGTGTCAGGGGGGGAGGTTCCGAACCTATAATGTATTTACTAAAATTGTTTTGGGATTTGATTAGGGAAATGAGGCTATAGAATTGGGAAATTTTTTTTATTAGGGTTGCCTGATCATATGATTTGTTCGCGGATCCGAGTGGTATGTCCCGTCAGACCATTCGGAATACTAGTATCCACCACTCGTCTTGGCTTCGTTCCAACCCAATGGTAAAGGTTATATAACCCATGAACATCATCTTAGCCGTGATTGGAACTTCTAAGAATCACCCAGAGCAGGAGTATCGCAACATGGAGTCCTTCAATTCTACTGTCCTTCCCCAGATGGCTTCATATGCGGATTTCATCAAGCTAGCTCATCAAAACCCCAACCTATCCAGCTTGGAAAACCTCTGGGAGGCTTACTACTCCTACTGGAACAACGATATCATCGCCACGGGTAAGCTCTACATGTTTGTACTGTCCCTGAGACAACCGCTAAGCTGCGCAGGAATTATCACGTTCATCGCCCATGAACTCATTTACTTCGGCCGCTGCCTCCCATGGATCATCGCCGATGCGATGCCAGGTACCTTCAACCGATGGAGGATACAAGATCACAAATCACCGCCCTCAGTAGCGACCCAATGGAACTGCACTAAATATATCCTTGCCATCCACTTCATCGTCGAACTTCCTCTGATTGTCCTCTTCCACCCTCTGATGGACCTCTGCGGCCTCAAATATACCTCCCCCTTCCCAGACCTCAAATCTGTAGCCGCCCAACTCGCCATCTTCTTCATTGTTGAGGATACCTACCACTACTGGCTGCACCGCGCCTTCCATTGGGGGCCCCTGTACCGCTCCATCCACCGTATTCATCACCAATACGCGACTCCTTTCGGTCTCACGGCCGAATACGCCAGTCCCTGGGAAACCCTCCTGCTCGGTCTTGGCACGATCGCCCCACCGCTGGTTCTCGGTTACTTTACAGAGAACGTGCATCTGATCACTGTATTGGTATGGATGGGTCTGCGCCAAGTACAGGCTATCGACTCGCACTCGGGATATGATTTCCCCTGGAGCCTGAGACGAATCATCCCCTTCTGGGGTGGAGCTGACTGGCATGATGACCATCATCGTTACTTTGTGGGTAATTACTCTAGCTCGTTCCGCTATTGGGATAGTAAGTCTTTCTTTGCACTCTTTCCGGGATTTGGTTGACAGGTACTGACCTGCGACAGTCTTGATGGGCACTGTTGCTGGCCCCAAGAATGGGCGTGAGCATAGACGCCGGGATTAGCTCCCATATTGCAGAGAGGGAGACAAAAGCTCTCTTTCTTTTTGCTCTTTTTTGATCTGTAGTAATTTTTTAATGAGGCTGTATGCACAGCTATGGGCTAGTTAGGGTATGATTAGAATGCGTATTATTATATGAGATAATTAAAATAAATAATATGTCTACGATACATCGGCCCACCTTTCGAGAATAATGTACGTATTTTAAAATCCCGAAAGAAAGCAACAATAAAGGGGAGAAATATATATCACGAAGGATCTAAGCCCGTCTCGCCCGAGAAGTCGGATATATCTCACCCGCCATAGTCCGGGGTTCAAGCAAACACCGGGCCATCCCGAACTGAAAAGAAAATGCCCAGTGAAATACATAATTTATGGGAAACGCCCTTCTGCCCACTGATAAAGCCTTTCTACCAACAAGAACACAATGCTTGATCGAAATCGACCATGTGTTTGACGCCAAGCATGTCGGGCGGTTATCATCGGTCATCTATAGTGTAAAGACATTGGTCTTGAAGAAGGTACCAACCAGACGTTCGGATGTCGTGGGATTCACACTTGACCTTAGAGGCTTGATTACTCTCAGTCACCTTTTGCTCAAGTGGTATTTTCTTCTATATTGAACTCACGCCTAGAGTTGGCTTCAGCGTGACAGGCATCGTTATATAAAAAGTGTACGTTCATGAAGATATCTCGATAACTAGAATGCTTCTTCCCTGAGATTCTGAAAAGTTAATCATTGGGTCACCTACATGAACATAAACGATCGGGAACTTAGGATTTCTCGCCTTGGAACCTGGATGTGGATTGCCATGCCACTTCTCTCTACTGGTATCAGTTGTGCCTATGTCGAGATTCATGCCAAGAGCAGATATCAGTAGCCAATGAGGTAGATGCTGATGGCAGTTCCCTTGTGGGGGATAGTGGAGTCGTTATGTTTCGATATATAAACAAGCTCATCGGCTCGCATTTGTGGATTCTGTGGAGCTATTTGCGTATCTCCTCGGCTTTTGATAGAGTTTTCGATATCGCGATCTCCGTAAGCCATGACATAACTCTATCCAGTCTGTTAAAATGGCCTTTACCTGCCAAGGGAGCCCTACCTTACGATCTAGGACGATAAATAGCAGCAGAAGTAGCCATCTATATAAAATAGCCGAACGTCCTCCGTACATCTCTCCCGATACACCCTCTCTTTATTATGTACTATAGTCTGGATAAGCACAGTCAGACGTTAACGGTAGCATAAATAGAAGACAATCCTGTGGCATCTGACTAACAAATTGTGGAGGGACTCTGACAGAGATGTCACCTTTACGGGAATCTTTTATCCTGGTTAGCATGTGTGCTCCCTCTGCCACATGGAGGCGGCCAATCCGAACTTTCTTATCAGAACTATACTATTGACTGTAGCTTCTGCAACTGCCCGCAGCTGTGAACCCATACGACAGACTTGACACTAATATACAGAATTCACATCGACTTTATCAACACCAGGTGTCAAGTTTCACTCGCATAAGATATTCAGCGACTGTACGATCTTGTCCGGCTTATATATGCCAAGCACAAACCTGATTCCATCACAACTTGGTCATCAAGGCACAAAGGTTACTGATAGCCCTGGTGGCTCAACTGTGTGCCTCGAGTAGAGTGGCTCGATTGCGAGAAATACCTCTTACCAGACACGTCTCAAGTCGCAACATAGAAGACCGTTAGGAAGTGAGACATCGAAAGACCAAGTCACACCGCCAGTCATATGGACCAATAATACCTATTGTACTGAGACAATTCCAGAACCTGTGACTCGCTGACGACCTTATGAAGATCTGGACTTCACAATGGGACCGGAATTAACAGACCCCTCAGCCAAACTTATATCTCAGATACGGCACCTAACCAGCGTTGCTATTGCTTATCCATCAGATGCCCGCTACATCACCCCTTGTGCTCGATGTAGTCTGCACAAATTTTGAGCTGCTCCCTCTGCGGCCCTTGGGCTGTGCGTGTCGCCGGAATGCGGCTGCATCTAGGGTCTGTAAGAACTAACAGGATGAGAACTCTTTTCCTGTCCTAGGAGCAGCCGTGGTGTTCGTTTATTTATTTTCTCGTGATTCAGAGACATCGATTAGTAACACAGATAACATCCACGTCACTGTAGTCGACCCAATAAGAGCTCATCCTGCATGAGGTTGTCTCCATCGTGGTAGCCATTTTTGGTTTTTGGAGACTGCCGCTGGTATGAATATTCGGCCGACTTCGCCAAAAGTCTCCGACCTTATTTGAAATTGGACCGGTTGCCCTGACTTTAAGCATCTTCTAATCCTTAAATTCTAAGTGGAGCGGCATAAGCAACACGCAGAAGCGGTTCGGAGTTAGGAAGAACTTAGCACCCAAAGGTGCCGGACTGGAAGCCGAAATAGAAATCTGAAGAAGGGTTTCAACGTTGGTAACCAATTATATTCTTGGGCTTTTTAAAGCTTTGTGGTTGAAGCTCCACGCAGTGGATATAGACCCACCAGCAACCGTTTCAATCACCAAGGAAGACATCACTGTCATCAGCGCATGCAGCTTACGCATTAACTTTCACCTTTGGTTCATGGGATACACAAGGCTTAAACTTAATGCTAAATTCCGAGTTGGTGTCATCACCTTGGGTCCCCTTTCTACCCCTGCCAAGCGGCAAATTTTCAATCTCACTATAGCTTCCAAACTATGGAACGGGTGGAGCTCCACTGTCATCGCGGAGATAATGGACTTGGTCCTCAATATTGTGGATCATCCCAAAAATGGATTTCTAAGCTCTTCTAATCTTTTTTCTCGAAATTGTCTGCTCCGGAGAACTGCCGAGACCATCCGCCACTGGCAATCTGTTCTGTATAAATCGCAGGAGGACCTTCGGGGAATCAACACCCCCAGATTCGATCAAGACTCTACATACGATAGAACACCCGAACAAAGCTAAACCTTAATTCGCATACAATGGCCGCTACCGACTACAAGTTCGAAGGCTGGATGGGCCTGGACCCCACGGCCGCTGAGGGCAACATGGTCTGGCAGGAGTTCCAGCCCAAGGCTTGGGAAGAGACCGATGTTGATATTCGCATCACACACTCCGGTATCTGTGGTTCAGATTTGCACACTTTGCGCAGTGGATGGGTATGTTTTGCTTTGCTTAAAGATAATATCGCCACGGCCGCTAACAATGCCTAGGGTCCTACGATGTACCCCTGCTGCGTCGGTCACGAAATTCTCGGAGTTGCAGTCAGAGTCGGCTCCCAGGCCGAAGGAAACATCAAGGTTGGCGACCGCGTCGGTGTCGGTGCGCAGAACGATTCTTGCCAGGGCCGCAAGGGCGACTGTGAAGAATGTGCCTCCGGGCTTGAGCAGTACTGCCCTCACTTGATGGGCGGTACCTACAACTCCAAGCACTGGAACGGTGACAAGTCCTATGGTGGATATGCTCTCTACCACCGCTCGCCTTCTCGCTTCGTTATCAAGATCCCCGATGCTATCCCCTCCGCGATGGCTGCTCCTATGCTTTGCGGTGGTATCACCACATACTCGCCCCTTCGTCACAACGGCTGCGGCCCCGGAAAGACGGTCGGTATTATCGGTGTTGGTGGTCTTGGCCACTTCGGTATTATGTTTGCCAAGGCCCTGGGTGCCGATAAGGTGGTTGCCATTTCTCGCAAGGCCAACAAGAAGGAGGATGCTCTCAAGCTTGGCGCCGATGCCTATATCGCTACGGATGAAGATGAGGACTGGGCCAAGAACAACTCCCGCAGCTTGGACTTGATCCTCTCTACCGTTTCCTCCTCCAAGATGCCCATCATGGACTATATCACTATGCTCAAGCCCAGTGGCAACTTCGTGCAGTTGGGTGCTCCCGAAGACGGTGCCCTCACCATCCCCGCCTTCGCACTGATCGTCAAGAGAATTAAGTTTGGCGGATCTATGATTGGAAGCCCCAGCGAGATCCGGGAGATGCTTGAGTTGGCTGCTGAGAAGAACGTCAGGTCATGGGTTCACGAGGTACCTATGAAGGATGCCAACAAGGCCATCGTGGACATGGAAGCTGGCAAGGCCAGGTACCGTTACGTGCTTGTGAACGAGCAATAGATCAAATCAGGCATCAATAGACATTGTACATAGGATATAGAGTAATTCAGCGCAGCGTACTACACAACTTCATATGATCGTACTGTATATGGCTCACCTCTGACTAGAACTGTTCCCCCCGGTGCGCGCAGTTGTTCGTTGGCCTCGACGTCCTTAGCACAGGGCAAACTGTCCCCTTCCAGGCCAAGAATATATTTGGCCGACCACCCAGTGCTTGAATCCCATTCTTCTCTCCTAGCACTAACCCCCTTCCCTGCCTTTACCACTGCATCTGTAGAACCCGCGAAGGCCGAGCGCACATATACCTGCTTCTGTCGCACCACCAAATACGTGCCCCAGATCCTCGCCAAAAATGTCCGCGAAACCTCCACCTCCTCGTCTTCCCTAAGCTCAATATCATGCTTTGATTCCAAAACCCATGAGACACCCCTTCCCGGCCCCTCGGGACCCTCCTTGAATCTCAACTCACGCCATACCTCCTCATATTCCGTCACCGGAGCCCCCGGCAGATCTGGACGAGACATAGATCCAGTCTCGAGGTCATCACCGTTTGGCAATGTAGTAAAGGTACCACAGTCAACGTCATCAAAAGAATTGTGCGAGTCAATCTCATGAGTAAACTGCACGCGGTCTGGTATTGTCAGTATGTGTGCAGTCCGGAGATGTGTGAATGCGACTCACGAGGGTCACTACTATCCACAACCCGCTGACCGGCAATTGCCCAGTCAATGTCGCCGGATTTCTTATCTACGCGAAGGTCCACGTACCAACCCTTCACGGACATGACGATGGTGTCGGTCGTTTCCGAAGCGGGTTCCGGGAGCCATCGGAGGGAGATGCGTGTTGAGAGGCGGCTCTCAGTGGGTGGATTCGCAGTGGGGGATGCCATGGCGTGAATTAAGGCGTGTGAGTGTTCGAGCGTGGTTATGAGAACAGGAATGAGGATTTGTCTGGAGATGGGTTACGACGTCCCTTATCACTATTTAGTTATTTATTTTAAATACCCCGCATCCAGTGGGCAGGACCTTGATTGGTCAGAGAGTCCGTCCTTTCCAAGTAGTAGTATTTATCACTAAGTTCCGAGTCATTCCTACTCCTTTACATAAACCTCATGAACCTGCTAGTGGCCGAAATAGGCACACCCCCCGCCTTCTTGTGGCTTGCATATGATTCTGAACAACTAGAAAGGAGGAATACTGTTGTCCTAAGGGCTACTTATGCTTATATAACACCATGAGTCCTATTGGTTGCTCCAAAAATCATCCTTGAGCATTGCATAACATCATACGGGCATCCCATCATACGCAGACCATTCACAATACACCCTACGCGGTATCGGCATCCTCGCCTCTAACAGCGAAGATCAGCTTACAAACCTGATCCTTAGGACGAGCGGAGATGATCTGATCATCGAGGTCCATGGACGCAGTCATATCCGGGGCAACCGACGACCGAAACCGAGAATACAGCTCTCGCAGAAGAACTCTCATTTCCACCATTGCAAGGCTACATGCGTTAGTGAAGAAGCCATGTTGTGGGCTTTAGTGTGCTTACTTCTTTCCGGTACACCCTCTCCCGCCCGTCCCAAACGAGAAGAACAATCGATTCCGGTCATTGAAGCCCTCTTCTTTTAACCATCGCTCCGGATTGAAACGGTCCGGCTCGGGGAACACTTCTTCGTTGAAACGGTGTACCGTATATGGCTGACAGCTGACAATAGTATTCTCTGGGATGAAGTACTCATCGATAGTCCTGCCACCGGATGGGACGTACCGTGGAAAAGACATCGGAATTGGCGGTGTGCATCGCAAGGCTTCCTTTATAACAGCATCTAGATATGGCATTTTATCTAGAGGTGTATCATCCGATGCTGATGCCAGCTCCTTGTGAAGACGATCTTGAAATTGGAAGTTCTGTGGCTGAGAGAGTTCCCACATAAGAAAGCAAAGAGCATCACCGGTAGTGTCAATGCCTGCAGCCATATGGTCTTTGCATTCGGCGGCGACTTGCATGTGGCTCAGCGGCGAGCCTTTGCGGGTGAGACGCGCGACTAAGCTGTGCTCATCTGGGCGTTGTTGCCCGGCCATCTGTACCGCATATGCATTTGCTTTGGGGGCAGGGCGGGGGACTAGACAAGATGGGAAATATGGGGTTAATGTGGGGAGGTAATAGTGTAGAAGATTTTCTGTTGTGATTAGCTTTGTCTACAGTGAGAGCTGACCATTCACATACTCTGCAGGCTTTGATGATATGTCAACTCCTCCATCATCTCATAGTCCTTAGCGTTATCTAAGGATTTCAAGCCACCAGGGCTAAACATGAAGTTTGTTACTCCATCAAGCGCGTAGCAGTGCAAGAGGGACTAGAAATGTCAGCCAAATTCACTATAAGGAGGTGTGATACTCACGTAGACATTCACACTTCCTTCGATGGCGGCAACTCTCGATACAAAGGTCTGAGCTCGCTCCTTAATGGCGGACACATGCTTCTCGCGCACGACGTTTGACATGGCGTATCTATCAGCCAATTCCCGCTTCCTATGACTATGCTGCACCTCGTTAGTTGCGATGGCTTTCATTCAGAGGGATGAACTCACTCCTTGCTTCTCGAGAGTAGAGAACATGGTTCTTTACTTGTCAGCTTATTTTTCTTTTCTTATTGTTTTTTCCGGCTGGGCAATGCTATACTTAATCCCATATTGTCGGAATAAATCATAGTATTCCGTCTTATCATAACCACTGCCGCCGGATGCGTAGATCTCTCGGATAGCATTTAGGCTAGCAAACGAGACTTCGTTCGGCGCAAGGCGGACTACAGGACCATACTTCTTGTGTAGATGGTGAACGAAAAGACGTCTGGTCGCTGTGAACTCGTGGTACTTCAGGCAGAAGCTGGTGAAGTTCGTATACCACGGGCCGGGGACCTTGGCAAGTGGGGATGAAAGGCGCTTGAAGAGATATAGTCCAACAAGCAAGATACTCGACAACCATAATGACCACATGTTGAATCAATAATTCCCTTGAACCTTTGACAGGAATTTAGTCTTGGAAATACCGGTTTATTTCTCGCGACGGATATATATACAGATTAGTGATACGATGAACATGATAGAACAACCCTATACCATCCGAAAAGGGAAGTTTGAAGAGATGACTACCCCAGGAAATCAGGGACTGTCCAATCCTTTATCTGTATCTGCATTAGTCCATCAATGATAGGCGTGTGTTATCGTGCGGGGATGCTTTTATCGGATCCTTCCGACTGATAAGCAAATGCATCTCGGCACTAGAGTTTCTTTTAGTAACAGATGCGTTTGCCTTGGGATCTACCGCGGTATCATATACGAGGCGATGTCCAAAACTGGCAAGCGGGCCCTATTTCTTTCAGTAGGTGGTGACGAAAGAGGGAGTAGTAATCAATCCTTTTCCGTCTGCGGTTCTATATTATGCATTTTTATACTCTTTTCGTCATGGGCAGGCTGTGAGTAGTGGTCACCCTGTGTGGAGGCTCCGACTGCATTCGAATAAACTACCACATTTTCTGCGGCAAAGTGCGTATTGAGGTCTCTTTCTGAGATGTATTATTTTTCTAGACACGGAAATTTCATTGTATCAGATCTTGCTTTGGAGGTCGTCAAGAAGAAGACGGTATGAGCTGCCCCTCGCCTCGAGATAACTCAATATATATCTTAATTGTAGATACCTAAAGGGTTAGTCTAATACAACCATATGATTCTTGTATAAATATAAATAGCTCTTTATACAATATTTTTTTTAAAAAAAAATCAGAAATTTAATCTTAATAGTAAAGCCAGTCTTATCGAAGTTAGAGATATTCTCTACTGAGACTCTATGCTGCATTATAGTAATTTGTACGCATGGTACAGTACCCCATCAGCAACCATATCGACAACACCAAGATTGTATTCATATTAGGTATAGGTGTAACATCTATGAGTGCATTGAAGCTATAAATCGTGTGGCCAGCGTGACCGCCAAATCAAAAGTAGTACTAGCTACAGTTCAGTGATAGTAGATACAATGGATCAGAACAGAACAAGACCCATACGAGAAGCAACAGTAAAGAAATTCCAAGAGTTTTCTCGCACACGCCTTGAGACTTGAAAGCGCTAGCATAAAGTTGTGTCTTTTAGGTGTTGGATCGTTTATACATGATGTCACGGTGTTTTAGCTAGGCAGCTCTTAGTGCTTATCACTAAGCGCCATAGTTCTTATAAAATCTCTTTGTAATATCAATATCAACTTCACTAGCTATTGGGATTAGGTCTACATGCCCCTGTCCTCTATTTTATCAAGAGCTAGCTGATTACAATTCCGGCTACATCGCTTCCAATGTAGAGGTGAGCCTAAGCTTGAACACGAAAAGTAGGGACGATTGAAACTCTTGATATTTGTCCGGAATATCAAGAAGTCGCTGTTGAACTTGTATTCTGTCTCACCAAAAATTGTAATATGTACTTTTCTTTCTATATTCATAGATTCATTATCATTGTTGTCAGCAGAATCCCGTCTCGGTGGTAGCAGGGCCAGTGAAATAATACCTCCAGTCCACCCAAGGAGTATCTACGAGCAGTATCTCGCTTATTAATTTAACATAATCTACAAATCTGCAAGTATCCTAGTAAAATTGGCTTCCATAATATATGAAAAAATGGGTTGAGGCTTATGACGTCTGTCACCGCCCAAATCATCACTAACCGCAAAACATTTGCGCAGGATGGATACAAAGTGATAGAAAATGGAACCGTGGTGGAGACTTGCAACGAGCGGGAACTCGTGATTCGCCATGGCTGGTTAGTCAGCTTCGTCGATTATTAAGTTGTGGGGAATGGCGCATGCGCAAGTCGTCCGTGTCTCCTGAGCTTCTTAATTAATTGTCCTCGAGAATCAAGAGTTCTGTACGTACGCAGCAGCTCGCAGACGCTTTAGGGCAGCACTATCTCTACTTCAACTGCATACCTTAATATAGATATAACAGAATGGCGTCGAACGCCCCTAAGCGTGTTACCCTGCGCAGATCATGCCAAGCCTGCGTCCGAGGCAAGCGTCGTTGCGACCAACGATGGCCGCGATGTAGTCGGTGCCAGGCTCGGCGCATCGACTGCGAATACATCAACATACCACTGCCAGCTGGGCCCGATGCCTCCAATGCCACTTCGCACGTTGTACGCCGAGCATCATCTGTGTCCGATCTGCCCATACACCGGCCGCTGCCGTTGGTAATTATGAAAGGATACGACGCGGACATCATTTCGTTCCTTATAGCCGGAATGCGAAGCTTTCCTACTGAATTCGCTAAGAATATGAAGACGGACTTTATCCATCCAGACCTTTATCAGAGTTCTGAGGCTTCAACCGTGTTGCAAAATGTCCGGACTCTCTGCAGACTCCACTCCCAAGCTCGTCAAGGGGACAACACCACGTCCCTTACTCCTCTGCTACAGCAGCACTGTGCAGAACTCCTTCGCAAGTCTGGTCGTCCAGCTAGCTTCCAGGAGCTTCTCGCATGCATCCAATCACTACTTATCCTACAGTGCCTTCTCATCCTCGATGAGAAAACAGATCTTGGCCCCTATTCGGAAACTATCAGTACTATGCTATCTAATGTTGGGCGGCGTCTCTGGCAGAAAGCTCCTACTCAACTCTCCCATACTATGAGTCCACGGGAGGCATGGCTCTTCGCAGAGAGCGTTCGGCGGACGATTATCGTCGCCTTCATGCTGCGCAGTGTATATTCGTTACTGAAGAGAAACTACTCTGTTCGCACTCCGTTCGTCGACTCATTGCCTTTCGATGTTCGCACTACTTTGTGGGATACCGATGATGGGGTCTGGGATGACGCAACGCCTGTATCTTTGGAAAACATGGTTTCTTTGCAGCAGTATTCGAGCTTGCTGGAGTCGGGTGCAGTCTACGGTATCTCGCCATTCAGTGCTCTGATATTGGCTGCCTGTAAAGGTAAAGCTGTGTCCGATGTGCCGTATCCGCCTGTTGCAGGCTACAAGGCCTACTGAGAGTTAAAGTACACGGAAATGAAAGTCGGTTACTCTGGATTCTCTATCTCTCTAATACACATTCAACCCGTCCAACACTCATCGCAAGAATTGCTTGAGCAAACCCCTCAGCATCTCCGTCATCTGCTGGTATATCTCCTGTCTCTTGGTCTCGAACGTTTCAAAGATGTCCTTGGCTGATCCGACCGGGATTTGATCCTCGCCCTGGGTGAGCTTGGCCCACACTTCGTCGATGAATTCCTGCAGTGGCATGCCAATGAGATGGCCGTCTTTCAGGTCCGGCTGGTGCTTGGGGTCGTGCAACTCGGTCTGCACCGCAGGAGGGTATATCTCTAGCACCTTCACATTTCCGGGGCCGTCCTGCAGTTGCGTACGTAGGGCCAGGATGAAATGGTGCAGTGCGGCCTTTGAAGCACCATAATTCGGACAGCGCATCATCGGTACCAGAGCCATTTGTGACGTGGTGAATGCAATAGCAGTTTGGGTTGGTTGCTTTTGCAGGTGTGGGAGGAACTCCTTGGTGAGACGAACTGCCGAGGTGTAGTTCGTGATGAGTTCTTGGTCAAAAACGTCCAGATCGACGCTCTCGGGGTTTGCGAAATCGAATGGCCGCTGGATTCCGGAGTTGACGAAGACACAGTCAAGGTCAGGGTTCTCGGAAACCACTTCAGAAGCAAACTTGGGGATCTTTGGTATGGGTTAGTTGAGCCCTTGATGGATTCACGCTGCGGGCAGGATAGATGAGTACTCACTGCTTCAAGATTCATCACGTCAAACACCTTATATTTGACCTTGTCACTTCCATTCTCCTTGACGAACTCTTCCAAGTTCTCCTTCCTCCTGCCAGCAATGATCAATTGGGTACCATTTTGCACGAGCTTGGTAGCCAGCGCCTTGCCAATGCCTGAGGTGGCGCCGATCACTAGGACTTTGGTGTAAGGGAAAGACATGTTTGAAGCAGGTTATAGAAATCAACGATGAATATTACAACTACATCTCTCAACGGCAGACAGCGTTGCCTCTTTTTTATATCCAAATCCATGTACTCTGAATCCTGATGTCATCGCCACATCTAGCGGAGACTAAACCTCTTTGGGGTTTTTCTCATGGCCCACCACGTGTGCGGAGACTAGGCCGGATTGGGCGATCTATGGCAAACGCAGCATTCGCGATCAATTTGTCAGGAACGGACTTAGAACATTAGTGCCTCACCCTAAATCCATGACCCTGACTCTGTGAAGCTGTGTCTAGAACAGTCTAGAAATAGAGTGTTTCGAGAGTAGAGTGACAGGGGTGATCTCCCAATCTAGATACTTGTTTAGGACATGATCGTGCAGTCTCCATCAATCAGTGCTAGCGTTAGTAAGTCCCTGAAACTGATACAAATGCTTATTGAGGAAGAGAGACTTAGTACATATTACAGAGTCACATGTCATTAGCTGGGTTACAAGGTACGTCTTTCTGGTAGGTTTTGGCTTTATATCTGTCTAGAGAAGTAGTCCCAAAAAGATCCCCGAGAGATATGGACATAGCAGAATCTACGTCAGGTACAAAGGTATCATATATAGCACTTCATTATAGAAGATATCAATATTCAACACCTATCTACTTCCCCTTCTCACATGAATAAATAGGGTCCTCCTCCAATTCAACCCCCCAAACCCTCCACATCCTCTCCTTAAACAACTCATAACAAGCTCCCATCCTCACAACCCTCATCTCCCCGAAATCGTATAAGATACTTGCTCTCCCATAAAGATGATACCGCTGCAACCCATAATCGACCACAACATCCGCGGCCTCCAAGATCTCCTGCTCAATATCCTGCACGCGAAACTTCTGTCCACTGCCGGTCACATTCGCACTCGACCCTACAACTACCTTTCCGACCTCATAATGTAATCTCACAACCTCCAACAGAAGCGACCCCCCACCCACATGGATAGCCATCTTCCCGTCCTTAGTCGTCTTTTCCAACGTCTCGGCCGACATGCCTTGCAACAGCGGATGGTCGGATCTATACGGCGCAATGACCCCAAGCGACATGTCTAGATCGTGTGTTAGGGTTTTGGTCATGTCGAATTTCTCTGCTGGGAGAATGTGCAGCGATTTGTGAACATCATAGTTGCCGATTATGCCTTGTGTGTGTCCGGGACGCCGCTTTTTAGCGTGAAAGGCGCGAGTGATAGCTTCGCTGGAGGAGGCTATCAGCCCGTAGCCTACTTCCGTAGGGACTATGGCTATGCCGCCTTCTTGGGGGATTTGGAAGACTCTCAGGGCGTCCTTGTGGACGTTTGGGGGTGTACTCAGGGTGGGGATTAGTTTTCCACGGAGAGTCATTGTGCGTGAAGTGGCTATAGAACTGGATTCTAGTTGAGACAGTGCTGTGGTTTTATATCGCCGGCTTAGGTGGGATGATAGAGTGTAGAGACTTATCATGCCTCCTGACGCGTCAGCACGACTTGGGGGCTGTAATGTTAGTGCAGTTCTTATCCGGCTAAGCTTTTCATGGTAGTCAGTCTAGCTGCAGCGCATAAGCGTATGGATGAGATTTTTAATTTTTGGATTCCAGATGTACATAATCATTAGTCTAAAGCACGTATCTGAATGTCTTGTTGTCAATCTCCGTTTGATCCTAGCTCATAATTAGTCTTTTGCAAGTTCACACGCACACCAGAAGGAGAGAAACTTACCAGCATGCCCTTCTCAACACCATCACTCTCCTCGCCGCTCGAACCGAGGGCTTCCCGATCCCTGCGTTTATTCTCGAAATACATGTACAGGTAGAGCGCAGTGATTGAAACCAGCTTCACCGCATAGCCAACCAACATCCTGCACAACAGTTAGCACCGATACCCGCACCCGATCCCCCAGTCCGGCTCGAAACTCACGCAATATAAGCACTGTGATACCCCGGTGCCTCACTGGACTTGAATGTCTGCGGCCCAATGATATTTCCCACACAATACCCCGTGAACAACAACGCCCCGGTGACCTGTTTCTTCGTCGACCCCGCAATATTGGAGCTCACGATCGTCAGACTCATACTGAATCCCAGTCCCTGGAAATAGCACAGCCAGAGCGCGACCAGTCGGCCCCATTTATTCGAGTCCGGCAGGCCAACTAGCAGCGAGGATCCGATGATGCAGACCAGATTGGCGAATATCATGCACGCACTGCGCGAGTGGAATTTGCCGCTATATTTCGTCGCAATCATGCCGCCGAAGAGGAGGGTGAGGAATTGGACCGCTCCGCCGGGGATTTGCAGGTATTGGGTTCCGAGGGTGTCGAAGCCGAAGGATTTGACGATGATGGAAGTGAACTGCGCTCTTGTTAATATCCCTCCAGAGAGCGGAATGGGAGGCTCCAGGCGGACATACACTCGTCAAGGCGGAGTTTGGAACTTGAGCTCCAATAGCCATGATGAACAATAACCACGTCTTAGGATCCCTGGCTGCCTGCCACACTTGGTACCATTTGAAGTGGTGGTTCTTTACGCCTTGCTGGTTGATCGCGACACGGTCGATTGCAATCGCTTTCTCGCGCTCGGTGAGGAACTTGGCCGTCGATGGGAGATCGGGGAGGAAGAGGAGAGATACGATTCCGATGACCAGTGATACCGCACCGAAGATCAGGAACACATACATCCATCGCGGGAGACCGCCGGCTATGTGTCCAATAGCGTAGCCAAGGAGACTGTTGGTGGTTAGTGTTTCGCTATCTTTAATTTCGTGGCTTTAGCAGAGACCCACCCTCCAAACATGGTGGCAATGCCATTGGTGCAGTAATAGGTTTCGAGACGCAGAGGCTGCTCACTTGAGGTGTACCAGATGCTCATCATCAGGACGAATCCTGGGTTCACAACGGCTTCGGTGACTCCAAGGAGAAAGCGGTTGACGGCTATCCCGGCGAAGTTGTAACAAGCCGGGGTTGTCATCAACAGGCCTCCCCAGACTATAACTGTCAGTCTTGCTCAACATGGTACAGAGTAAGGAGGTCCTACTTATAGTAGTTATACTTAGAAACTTTCCAATTGGAAGTTTTTGAAGGGCTAATCCAGCCGGCCACTGCGCGACCAGATAGCCGAAATAGAAGATAGACCCTAGTCCCAGTCAGCCATGGTTAATTTACTGCGCAAGAAAAAAAAAACATACCCAGCCATGAATAGTCTTGGCCTTTCAAATTGGTGCCTTCCTTCAAGCCGTAGACTGACGAAAAGTTGAGACTGTTTTTGTCGAGATACTAGAAAAAAATAAGCATTCGATCATGATTCGCCAATGTATCCTTCATACCTGCAATAAGTATATGAGAAACAAAAGCGGCATTAATCTGAAATCGATTTTCCGCAGGACCTTTTTAGCCTCTTCTGGGGTATATTCCAATTGACGAGTTTGTTGGTAAACTTCATAGCTATCATCGCGATCCGACGATCCCGTAGACGACAGAGGAGGCGACGAAACATTCGTCTCAATATCTTTGGTCGAGCCCATACTGCGAAATGCCAGAAGTCACGACAAAAGCAAGACCAGCCCGCACACACTCAACCTCATTTTCCTAGCGAAAAGGCCAGCTTTTATAACTCCATATCGCGAGGCTACGCGAGTCTACGATGCGGGCCACGACCCCACAGACATGGTCCGATCACAACCATGTTGGGAAACTAGGATTGGGAATGGGTTTCAGACAAAGGCGAATATCATTTGACGTCGAAGATGTACACGGCGCGGAGTGCTTGTTGTTGAGTGGATGGTTGGTGGTGTTGGTGTACCGTGTAATCACGACATCGACCCCACGATTGCGTTTTCTCGGCAGTTACTGATGGTGTCATAGCTGCATTGCTGCTCGGCAAACGTCCGTTAATCTAATATGTTTTGAAGGGTATAATTCGCTATTAAGCAAGACCAGTTTATGCACCATGCCGTGAAGAATGTAGGCTTGGTCGTGGGACGAGATGTCGGGTTGCCGTTAGATATGTTTTTTCCTAATTGGGAAATGCTATGGGGCTATCCATCCCAAACTATATCTTAACCCTAATATCACTTTATATAATGCGATTGTTCACCGATTAGATATGGTTCTAGACAGAGGTACTTTTATTTGAATTATCCTCCGCCCGAAGATAGTCCCCCAAATTGTCGCATTGAACGGTCCTATGCGTATGCATTGCGTTGATCCATCAGTGAACTGCCAACGGCTGTACATCGAATACTAACTGTCCTTATCGAAAAGACAGAGATAAAGTAGAATGGTCAGCACGCCGATAGTAGACATTGATCGACCTTTGTTTTTTTCTCTCTCTTTTTCTATACACCAACTTTTGTCTTATTACCTTGCAAGACATCCATTCATATGGACATTGTACTGATCAGAAGCATTAGATTCCTGGATGAGATTCAAAACTCAACCCAGGCATTCCCTAAGCCGCCTACATCAAGAATGCATTCATAATGAGTATTCTCATGTGACTATACATTAGACATAACTACATACATAAAGAAGCCGTATATTACAGGTGATATAATACATCTGAGGAGAGGCCATGTCGCTATACATATCAGGCCTCTAAAACATCAGGGTGGGGATCGCATGGTCCCTGGGTGCAGTATGAAAGCATATTGGTAGCCGGAAAATGGATAGCCAGGCGTGTATGTGGATCAATCAACAGAGCAATACTGTCTGTGTTCACAGGACGGCAGCGGCCAACGCCACAACGGCACCTCCGAACAGCATACCGGCATCTCCAGTGATCTGGGGCATACCACCGGTGCTGACGGCCGAAGAGCTGGAACTCGAGCTCGAGCCGGAAGAGGAAGCAGAAGACTTCGAAGACGTCTGGGCCGCTGAGGTAGTGCCCTGACTGCCTGACTCGGCTGTGGTGGTCGCCGAAGCGGTCGCCGCCACACTGGTAACAGACCCAGCGGTGATCGTTACCGGGACAAAGGCCATTTCACTCTGCTGGATAGTTGAGATAGTAGTTCCTGGGAAGTTGGCTTCAGGCCCGCCGGCAGTTTCAGTGCAAACGGCAGAGGTCGTTCCAGCCACGGAGCATTTGACGGTCATATAACTGTAAGGTGAAACGTGTTAGCCGGTGTCTCTGCTGAGGGTATTGTGTGAAGAAAAGATAAAACGCACAATTCTGGCTTTTCGTTCAGCTCGTAGATGATAGTCGGCGACGCATCCGTGACAGTGAGACCAGGCCCCAAGCCACAGTCATATCCATAGTCATCCTCATCGCTCGCGGTCGCGGTCGGAGGAGGGGCACAGCTGACACTATAGGTTGTCGCAGTGGCGTCCTATTCTACATGTTAGTCCATGCGATAAATTGACAGAGCCCCGCGGCCAAGGGATCGTCCGATCGTCAATCTGTGGGGTACTGACGTTACCAACGATAGAAGCTTCCAAGGACTGTGGGTCTAGACCAAGGAGAAACATAGAAGTTACGCTGCTACTCGCTGAGATGAGGCCGGCCATCGCCAGGCCCATAAGCAATTTCACAGCCATGGTGGTTCAAGTGATAGATGGTGATTTTCTCGGTGGTCAAAATGCGGCGACACGAACAAGGAGGTCCGAGTAACGCGGCGGTTTAAGTAGTCGAGAAGCAGGGTCGTTCTGTCCTCGAATTCAGGGCCAGGGGCAAAAGAAAACTCTAAAGCTTGTCTAATCTCTTTTCAGGTTAGAAGAGGGACCTGGGAGATAAATTTGGGGATCGGTTCAATCTAGGCCCCTTTAGCGACTTTTTATGAGTCCAAACCCTACCTTGTTATTGGTGCCGGCGAACACCGGTAATGAACTAGGATTAGTTTGATATTAGGTAACCCTTGGATAAATCTCCTGCTTTTGCCACTAAAGGAAGACTGGCAGTAAGTGCTAACCGGTACCTGAGGGCCCACTTCTGGCCCATGGGGCATCTTCGGTACCTATCCATAAGCTAGAATCAGACTAACCCTACATGCGACAAGCTGATATTTGACTTCAAACCTCCAAAAAGAAGTACCCAGGTCGCAGGTAAAGACCGTTATCACGACCCAGGCACAAGTTCCTAAGCAGAACAATTCAGTTTACGCTTTTTATAAGCCGGACATGGGGTATCATCGGAGTCCGTAGGCCAACCGTCTGCGGTGTTCTCACTCTTCACATCACTGTCCTCTTCAATAATCGGGATGGAGTGCGCGGTCGCAAATAGGAGCACATAAAGTCCATGATGGGCGGCGTCTTCTTTTCCACACCACTTTGGTCGGTGTAGCGAAAAGGTTGAATTCTTGCACGAAGTAACAAGAGTCGAAGCGCTGCTGGCCGGAAAGCTGAACGCCCCTATGGCCTACTCCCTCGAAGAACACCGAGCACAAGTCTTCCAGAAACCCACAGGGGAGAGTCTCCCTATGTGCTTGGAATCTCCTCTTCCCTTCTTTTGCTCGCCCATGAATCCATCGCCATCTGACGTAAAGGGGAACCTGGAAGGGTACTACAATTACGCAACATTACTCAGCTACAGGACAACACCGGATCCAGCTTCTGAGGGTTAAACCAGATCATAAAAACGTTCAAATAGCAAAACTATCAGTAATAACAGATAAAGCGACGTATAAATGAACACCACTAATAAGCAACTACCCCAAACCCACGTCCTTAATTTCCAGACTGATCACTCGCGTGCAGAAGTTGTTTGCAAGCGAAGAAATTGGCATATATGTCCCTCCTCCATGTAACCTCAATCAGAGACAGGAGCAACCAAGGTAGTTATTGGTGCAGCGACCATTGCGACCATCGCAGCCATTCTCATTGCACTTGCCGGTGTTCTTGCCACAGCCATATCCACATGGACAGCCCAAGTATGGGCCCTGTGTTCAATGTACATCAGTTATGTCCCACACCAGTTTGGCCACAAGGCGGAGTTAGACTTACCGAAGTGCAGGTTATACGGTTCGCACTAAGCTCCCCATGGCAGTTGTTATCATAGCAGTTCCCGTTGGGCCAGCCACAATTGTTGGCAACGGCGGCTTCGTCTGGGTTGGCAGAAGGGTGCGAGGCAGCCAATGAGGCCAGGCCGACTAGAAGAAGAGTCTTGAAGTGCATGTTTGTGCGTGTTGGTCTTGCGGATATAGAAAGGCTGTAATATGTGCTAGAGGAAGACGATGTTTCTTTGGTGGTTTGAGATGTTCTTTGACAGAGGAACAACTGCGCCTATTTATACCTTTTCCTGGCTGCTCAAATGCCAGGCCATTCACACATGAGCCGGTTTTCCGATATCCATGGTCTTTTGCTTTTTCTTGCTCTCCAGTTCCCCATGAACTATGGCTTTCGCATATGCATCTCGTGTAGCTGACTTAGAGGGATATGTTTGTCATTGGCTATGCAACACAATCATTGGCTTGGCTATAGTGGTTTGTACTACATGAACTATACAATTAAAGCGCTTCCCATCGGTAGACGCATGCCGATGTTCCGATTACAACCTAAGACTACCTCTCCATTACCCCTTGTGGTTGTTTCTCGTATAGCGACAGCAACATTGAATAGTATGAAGTGCGGAGGGAATACTCGGCAGTACAACCTAAGGCAAGGGATGGGTCTAGATTTATGTAACTATGAAATACCAAAAGTGCAGCACTGCAATCTTTCTTCCTGTACCTCCAAGCATACAAGAATAAGCGAAGAAGGCTTATGAGTAGACCTAGAATGCCTCTAATTCTTTTCAAAGTGAAAAGCGAAATGCCAATTGCCATCAAGCTCCTTCAATCTCAACTACCAGAGTATGCAGCGTTCTATACGGAATATGGATGTAACCCTGTCGCTTATGTTGCTCACAGCTACGTCAGTACTGTAAGATCCTTGCAGAAAGCGGGGACATATAAGCCACTATCACAATCATAATCATGGCAGGCGCTAAACGGGCAATCCAAGCCGTAACGATTAGCTTAGTTCCCCGGATTTTGTTCAACTTGTGCGTCAGCTCAAAAGAAAATCAAGACACCCTGCATAAGCGCAGATACAAGACCAATGGGCAATAGTAGATCTCCTCCGTCTATCAGCTTACTTTCCTCGTCAGGCATAGCGAACTGCAGTGGAACTCCTTGGCCTATCATAGCAGGGTCTGACCCAAACAGGTGCGGCTGAAGGTTTATATTGACCCGATGATTGCTCAATCATCCTTGTAATTTGGGGATATGGGTAAATAATGCCGAAAGCAGGCCTGTGGCGTTGACTACTTCATATGCAGTGTACGTCAGCCAGCCGTACTTCGGTCACAAGTTGTTCTCTTATAATTCGAAATTATTCCCCATTCAATTTGTCCAGGCACGCAGAGCGGTATTTTGGATTTATTATCACGGGCCGATATACCTTAAGCCCCAGGGTATGAGACTCAAAAGTCAACTCTAATCAGCAAGCAGTAATCGCACAAACTACCTGGCGGTCTTGCATTTGCAAAACCGGTAAGGTCCTTATTCACACGATCACTGCAAGCCCCAATGAAAGCATTGTCAGCAAAGTC